TATAATTATTTATTTATAGATAGTATATATAGTTAATAAAAATTCGTTCACATTGTATTCGTGAAGTAAATTTTTCAATTATGTCCCTCTTACTTAATTCCCTAAACATCAGATTATCATAAATCACTCAACACATCAGAAAAACACCTCCTCAACGGTTGAACCAGCGGATGAAGAGGGCTACGCATGACGAACCTGACACAGGGCCAACGGCAGTTCGTTGCAGTTTCATAACTGAATTCTGCATCTCTCATTCCACTTGTGCCGTTGGGGAAGGTTATGAAATCAGGTGTGTGTGTGTATCACTTAGTGGCAAGACGAGATCCACCTTAAACAAATTCACGCCATTGGCACTTTCTTCTACTCTGATTTTGTTTCAACTTCAACCAACTCTTGCAAAGCCAAACGACGATAGAGAATGGATGATGGGAGCCAGTTTGGATGAAACTGGAAGCTTCTAGTCCTGAACTTGCACGTTGGTGGTAAATTTAGTCATCAGAGCTATCACCATAAAGGAAGCGATCAGCAAAGAATTAATTAAATTCTTAGCATACAAGATAACAACGACGACTTGTGTGTTTACAAATGCGAAGTGTCTTCTATAATAACGTTTGATGTAATATACATATATATTTTGGGCTCCATGAATTACTTATACATGCATACATATATATATATATATATTGTCGGATCTATATCCATATATTTGCTTACATACTGTCTACTGGAAATACAAACCTGAATTTACTTTATAACATGGAAGACTTCAAGCTTGGTGGAGAATATATGAATCTATTGATCAAGTAAGGAAAGGATTTATTATCGAACTGTTTTTTAGAACTGTTCCATCGTTTTTGAAATCATTTTTGATTTGCTTTGTAACGTGAAGGACTTCAAGCTTGTATGAAGATATAAGAACCTATTAATCTCTACGTATTCCTATATTCAACGGAAGGGATTTCTTGAACTATTTATATAAAATAGTTCAATCGACTTTTTTCATATTTTAATATTTGGAAATCATCTTCGAATACGTTTTCACAACAGCGCCCACGTGACGACGACGTGATCATATTTAAACGGAACGCTGATCTTATATAAAAATTTCAGTTATCTGTTTGGATTAGTTGTGCTCTTATGTCCATCGTTTTTTCATGTTGAATTTTATGTTCTAATGTTAATTATGTTTAAATGAAAATGTCCATGAAGATGGTCTTAAATATACCGAAACGTCCGACGTCGACTTTATATTAACATTAATACAGCATAATTGCATGTTAAAATTTTTGTTTGTTTTTTCTGTATTTTTCTTCATATATATATATAAGTAATTCATCGAGTCCAAAATAATCTTCAATAGAAAGCACTGGACGACCGTTTCGTCCTATATTTGGGACTCATCAGTAGTGCGCATCCGCTACCTAGAATCGAACCCGGGCGGTTTTTCGATACAAAGCAAACGTCATACCAATTTCACCACGGGCATCGCTGACGAAGACACAAACTAGACTCGATATAGCGCCGCTACTCACTCAGTCCCGCAGCGATATTCATCCAAGCATACGGATAACCTCGGAATATTGCCCCAAGAGCCACGTCTGCTTATTGACCCTTAGCTGCTCCTCACGAGCATTAACTGGGTCAAGCTAGGATATACAGTGAAGAAATTTGGTGGGGGTGGGGGGGTTCAGGATTTAGAGTAATCATAATTAAGTAATTGATCGAGCCTAGAATAATCTTCAACAGAATGCAGAAAGAACTGGGCGGCCGTTGCTTTGTATCGAAACGGTCCGGGTTCGATTCTCGGTCGTGGATGCGCACTGCTGATGAGTCCCAAATAGGACGAAATGGCCCGCCAGTGCTTTCTGCATTCTGTTGACGATTATTCTGGGCTCGATCAATTATTTCATTATGATTACTCTAACACCGCCCCCTAAATTTCTTCACTATATATATATATATATATATATATATATATATATATATATATATAGATAGATAGATAGATAGATATATTAATTGATTTAAAATTTTTTTCGCTACACAGTTCTAACCATGTTTCAAAAATGGAAGCTAAAAGCCCCGAATTTAATTTTGTGATTAAATTAAAGACATTAGCTCCATTTCATCCTCAAACGAATAAAATATCTATAAGAACACCGGATTATATATCTTACTGTTCTTTTCTTTTATATATATATATATATATATATATATATATATATATATATATAAATGGAGAGAGAGATTTAGAGGAGAGAGTATGTCAGGGTGAGTCCGTTACAGTTTCATAACTGAATTCTTCATGTCTCATTCCATCTATGCCGCAGAAGAAGGTCATGAAATCAAGTGGCACTTCCTGGCAAATTGTGGTCCACTTTAAATAAATTTATTCCATCGCCACTTTCTTCTACTTCCAACCAAATCTTGTCAAGGTTGTTGATAACCTCAGGAGAGACAATTTTTTGAGCGGGAAATAGTACAGCTTTCGATCGGATCCACTTATGACAATCCTAACTTCTTTTTCTCCCAGAATCAGTGAGGCACTAGACAACAAATACACTTCAAGGACGAATCGCATTAGATATTTCAAAGGTTCTTGACAATGGTGTGGCATAAAGTTTTATTGCAAAGATGTTCTAGCAACTATGGAATCACTGGAATATTCTTCTCTATTATCAAGTCCTTCCTAGGTTTCTCGGTCCAACTCTCTTTCTACTTTTATCATCATCATCATCATCATCCTCCTCCTCCTCATCATCATCATCCTCCTCCTCCTCATCATCATCATCCTTCGACCTCCCTATGGTTGATCGGAACTCCATTGACATTCCCTTTCCACACTGTTAGGTCCAGCATTGCTGTCCCCAAATCTCCAATGTCCAAATCTAAGTCACCAAATCCATGACGTCTGTAGGGGTCAATTTTCGTGAGAAGTTTCTATATGTTTCTATTACTGTTTCTGTTAATATATTTGTTTAACACAATTCCTCTCTTTGTGTCTTTATTTCTGGCCTTAACAAGGCCATAACACATCCCCAGTCTATAAAATCTTAGGATGTTCAAGTCTAGGATTAACCTTTATCATCTCCGCATATCTCGATAAGCTCTGCCTCTTAATCTGTAACACCGAGGTGCTTTGTGCTTTAGGTACAGAGTGGGCATCATTGTGAAAAAAAAAAATCAGCCCCGTATATTCGAAACTATCATTTTATTATAAAGTACTTAATAGTAGGTATGTTGGCATCATTCTAATAGGTAGCCTCTTATTCTAATGAATTATTACTTCTGTGAATAGAACTTGATCCTCACTGAGTGTACAATAATCGTAGCCTTGCGGGATCCTTATAGTTCCATTTCCACACTGTTCAGTCCTGCATTGCTTTCCCCAAATCCCCAATGTCCAACAACGAGTCCCGAGCTATGGTGTCTGGGAAGGTCAATTTTCGTGAGAAGACATTTTTCAGAAGGATGCCATTGTCAATATTTTTTTGGTAATAAAATGGGTCGCTGGTAATAATTTTTCCAAAGAAGTATTGCTGGTATTAAGACATATTTTTATACTTTCATAGTGTTTTGACCCCATTTTTGGTGGTGGGCCGTAACTAGTTGCCCATAGCTTGGACCCTGACAGGTGCTACCACCCCGGGCCGGGGTGGACCTGGGAACACCAGCAATTATGAGGTGGCTCCATGTTCCTCAAAACCTCCTGATCAAAGGCCCTTACTACCGGATGCATTTTACCCAGGACGCGGATGTAGTTCACCGATTTACCCAGTACGGTTTACGACTAGAAAAACGCGTTCCTTTTCTTTTTTTCCCCTCAGTGGGCAATGTACTGATGATGAGGGGTGATATAATGGCGACATCGTATTATACATTTATTATTATATGGCGTCATAGGTATTCATAGGTGGGATAAAAATCTACCATTCGTCTGTTCATTGAATAATGCTTCCATATCTGGTCTGGTGTTCCTGCTATTCATCTCGAGGTCCTTGACTAAATCCAAAGAAGGATCTACAATGTAATCGAACCTGACTTGGCATCTCGACTTTCTCACAGACACGGGGAGGTTTCCTTCTGTCTTTTTCTGCAAATATTTTACAACTGCTCTGACGAACTTTTTTTTTAAGCATGCAACTAGATTGGCATTTAAGTTCCACCCTTTTACTTTTAAAATAGCAAAATGCAACCGCCGCTTCTACTCCAACAATGACTTTTCTCGCTCTGCCTGCCTGTGGAACGCCCTTTTTTTTAACTTGCTTCCATCATAACTAGCATCTTCCAAAATTTAAATGCAACGTCAATTGCCATCTTCTATCTTCTTGAATCCCGTTCCTTTTTTTATCCTTTCCTCAATCCATCTTATACTCAGTCTTTCTGCGTGCTAGAGGCATTCTCGCCTTGCTTGGGTCGAAATAATTAACAGAAAGGTATATAAACCTGAAAACGTGAGCTAACGGTACATCGATGTAATAAGCTTAGAATTAAATCTTTGTACAAAGACATCATTAAAAGATAAAAGGTCGAAGAACTGAAGAACCGAATACAAGGTATTCAATATTCCATGAAACACTTCTACTTCTAATCTGAGAACAAAAAAAGTTGACCTTGGAATACACGGCGTTGATATAATGATAAATAGCAGACAAGAATAATTCAACGTCTTTCTGGCCATGTTTATATTTAACTTTTCCAGGGTCGGCGGAATGTTTATCAATTGGTGTCCTTGTTAGACAACCAAAGTTGTCAAGAGTAGAATATGACTCTGAGTTAGAGAATGGTGGAACTGAGTATTTTGCCTGCAATCAAAGGAAAGTCGATGTTGTCTGCTGTGCCAATACGGAACCTACATTCGTATTTTCTCTTGTATAAAATCTCAATAAGACTAAAAGCTTTTCTGTCTGCTTCTTTTTTTTTTTTACTAAGCTTTAATCTAGTGACTGTAATAGATTTAATAGTAGGAGTTAAATCTAGAAGTGGCACCATTCTATGACTTTGTACCACTATATAGACATTAACAGAGTTATAGATAGATAGATAGATAGATAGATAGATAATAAAAAGAATGATATATATATATATATATATATATATAGATAGATAGATAGATAGATAGACAGATAGATAAAAAGATCGAGAAAGATAGATAGATAATAAAAAGACTGAGATAGACAGAGATAGATAATATAAAAACTGAGATAGATAGATAGATCGATAGATAGATAGATAGATAGATAGATAATAAAAAGAATTATATATATATATATATATATATATAGATAGATAGATAATAAAAAGATCGAGAAAGATAGATAGATAGATAGATAGATAGATAATAAGACTGAGATAGTTAGACAGAGATAGATAATATATAGACAGACATAGATAGATAGATTGAATTATAGATAGATAAATAGATAGATAGATAGATAGATAAGACTGAGATAGATAATATAAAGACAGAGATAGATAGATAGATAGATAGATAGATAGATAGATAGATAGATAGATAGATAGATAATAAGACTGAGATAGATAGATAGATAGATAGATAGATAGATAGATAGATAGATAGATAGATTTGTGCTCCTGTGTACTTCTTATTAGAATCCGTATGTATGAATGCTTGAATATCTTCTCACGAGATCTTAAATCCTATCGTCTTTTTCGCCTTTTTACTTCCCAAAAAGCTGATGTTAAATTTAACGTTTAATTTCTCGCCGGGCTTTATTTTCTGAATATTTATACATCTACACGCCTCAGTTATCCGCAAATTAGGGATGAAATTAGACCCACTCGAAAATAATCGTTGGAGGAGGAGAGGCATTAAAAATATATTTAGGCAAAGATTGGGAGAAAACAGGATTGATGTGACAGTGGAGTAGAAGTGAGATCTAAAAGGTAAAGGAAAGTAAGTGCTAACTGGACAAGAAATAGAGATAGAGAGATAGAAAGCGAGAGAGAGAGAGAAGTTAAGAGGGAAAGAAAAACCAGAGTACAATGGGGAGAGAGAGAGAGAGAGGGAAAGAGAAAAATAGATAAAAAATGATAGGGAAGGTAAAGCAAATATAGGAAAAAAAAACGAAGAGCTCAACTAAACATTATATAAATGTTAGGTAAGATCTGTCAAAGAATGTTAAATGATTTGAGAGGCATATATAGATAAAAAATTAAAAACAAATAACACATCGATATTAATATGGACGCAGGTTGATAGTTATGAACAGTGATACATAGATAGATAGATAGATAGATAGATAGATAGATAGATAGATAGATAGATAGATAGATAGATGAGAACACTATGAGATAGATAGATAGATAGATATGAACATTATGAGATAGATATGAACACTATGATAGATATGAACACTATGAGATAGATAGATAGATAGATAGATAGATAATGAACACTATGAGATAGATAGATAGATAGATATGAACACTGAGATAGATAGATAGATAGATAGATAGATAGATAGATAGATATGAACACTGAGATAGATAGATAGATAGATAGATAATGAACACTATGAGATAGATAGATAGATAGATAGATAGATAGATAGATAGATAGATAGATAAAACAGAGATGGTGAAAGAAAGAAAAAGATATAAAATATTTATTTAGAGAAACATAAAAAAGATTGAAAAAAGAAGTAGAAGAAAAAGAATAAGAAGCCTTTATTTTTTTTTAAAAAGTATGCTCTACCCAACTTGAAAGGTCCTGTCACAAATTCTGTCCTGCTTATATCCAAGCTTTTGATTTTAGACCATCCACAGGTAAGACTAATAAAATCTAAGGATGAAAACGATAATGAAAAATACAGAAATGTAAGTAGATTGAAAGAAAGAGAGAGAGAGAGAGAGAGAGAGAGAGAGAGAGGAAGGGGAAAAGAAAAGAAAAGTTAGTTGTGCAAGAATAAGAGAATAAAAGCTTTGTTATGAATCACTTTAACTTTTTACAAATGATGTTGTTTTTTTTATCTTTCTTTGTGAAGAGTTCGTCATTTATCTGTCTCTATTATTCATTCTGTTGTCTGAATAACTTTAACATGCTTCTTTCAACGCTGCTACCTGCATCATACTGAACGCGTTTACACGCATCGATTGTGATTTGTCATTCAGCTCTACAGAGCGCCGAGGCAAAATGGTCTGTCGGGAGAGCATTCGTCCGTAAATTTTCATGTCAAAAACTTCGGTTCTCAATTTGTCGTCATCCAACCAGCATTCGTGTTTCCTCATGGCTTGTGGCGTATTAAACATCTACAAACGATGCTTCGACAACTTTTATCCGTTTGCTTTTTTTATGATTATCAAGTGGATCGTTATTCTAAATAACTTGAGCAAAAAAAAAAACAAAAAAAAAAAAACAGATATAAAAAAATTACTTCAATGATGTTTATAATTATTGAGATCTTTAAATTCTGCGATGTATTTTCACCATTATTTGGCGTGTTCAATCACTTCTACCACAGAAAACTGTGTTTATTCAACCAAATCTCTCAGGAAACTTTTGGATACTGTTATATATTGTATCTATGAACACTAATGGGTATGTCCCAATCCTCATAAATACGTTAGATAGTATTGTAAGTGTGGGTAATATGCTGTCTAAGTAGTCCTCTACTAGTAGTGGTTTACCTATTCACGACGCTGGCGAGTATTGTATTTTGTTGATGTTATAAAGATTACCATTTCATTTCCAAACTCCGTTTTGGTCATTCCTCATTCAGTAACCCTTTCTAGGTTACAACATTATGCATATTCTATATGCATCGTATTAACACGTATTAACATTAACACTCTCACCCAGACTCATTAGAAAACAATTCACACTTAACTCTTGGAGTGTCGAACTCTCTTCATTTGGCTAGAGAGGAACTCGGACGAGGCTATGCCGAAGGGCAGAGTCTCGTCCGCGGAGGTAGACAGATATCTGATCCCTCGTATTCGGGGTCTATGGGCAATTTTTGCCGCTGGTGAGTATTCTATTTTGTTGATGTTATAAAGATTACCATTTCATTTTCAAACTCCGTTTTGGTTATCCCTCATTCACTAACCTTTTCTAGGTTTCAACACTATCTATCTATCTATCTATTCGATTTTCTTCATATTTATCTATCTATCTATTATATACCGTACTTATGAACACTAATGGGTATGTCCCAATCCTCATAAATACGTTAGATAGTATTGTAAGTGGGGGTAATATGCTGTCTAAGTAGTCCTCTACTAGTAGTGGTTTACCTATTCACGACGCTGGCGAGTATTGTATTTTGTTGATGTTATAAAGATTAACATTTCATTTCCAACCTCCGTTTTGGTTATCCCTCATTCACTAACCTTTTCTAGGTTTCAACACTATCTATCTATCTATCTATCTATCTATCTATGTATCTATTCGATTTTCTTCATATTTATCTATCTATCTATTATATACCGTACTTATGAACACTAATGGGTATGTCCCAATCCTCATAAATACGTTAGATAGTATTGTAAATATGGGTAATATGCTGTCTAAGTAGTCCGCTACTAGTAGTGGTTTACCTATTCACGACGCTGGCGAGTATTGTATTTTGTTGATGTTATAAAGATTACCATTTCATTTCCAATCTCCGTGTTGGTTATTCCTCATACAATAAGCCTTTGTAAATTACAACAGATACACATCCAATAATTTTGACCAAATTTTCACCTTTTTTTAATTATTTCACCTCCAGAAAGACGATAAAGCCGCTAAGACACAAAGGCTTACTGAGAGAGAAAAAAGAAATGAGAAAATGTTACTTAGGAGACTTCATTATTATTCATTTTAACGCTTCAAAAAATGAACCTGCTCTCTTTTAATCATCTGAGAGAACCCTTTCTACCTTCAATCAGCATGGCTGATGCTAACCTCCAGGAGAGTGACTCATTGTGTCATCTCGAACTAACGTTTTCAGTTGATATGAAGTGAAAAGAGTATATTGAATCAATTGTTAAGACTACAGTTAAGAAAGTTGATTCACTATGTTGTACTAGACAAGTTTTCTAGCCAGAGTCTATTTTACATATTTATAAATTTGCCATTCGTCCCTGCTTTGGATATTTCTAGCACATCTGATTTGGTGCACCTGCTATATATTTAGAGATTCTTGATAAATCCCAAAGAATAATCTGCAATGTTATTGACCCTGACCTGGCATCTCGGCTTCAGTCACTTTCTCACCGCCGTAACGTAGCTTCCCTCTGTCTTTTTTACGTAAAACTATATAGTCGCATTATACACAGGTAAATTTTTTATAGTGGGGACAAAAACTTACCATGTTGAATTACATTCTCACGACACCATTGGCTAACCGGTTTACCCTATATATGTCTGCGTGCAATCTGTGGAGTTAAGCTTCAAGATAGGACATCTAACGTAGACCTGTTTAACAGGTGTAATATTGGAGGAATCGAGACTTTTATCATACAGTCTCAGTTACGATGGACTGGTCATGTCTTGAGAATGTCTGATGACAGGATACCCAAGATCCTAATGTACAGACAGTTAGATCAGGGCTACAGGAATGTAGGACGCCCATGGCTAAGATACAAAGACAAGCTGAAAAGCAACTGGTCAGCTGTCAATATACCACATAACACACTTGAGCGCTTAGCTTTGGAGCCGGTAGAATGGAGATCAACATGTTTTAGTGGACTCAGCAGTTTTAAATTTGCTTGTCTGAATCATCAAGAAGCGAGAGCAAGATCTAAAAGGTCAGCCAATCTAACAGTGATCTCATCTCACAATCCTCACACTTGCTCCATATGTGGCCTCCTTTGTAAATCATTAGCGGGTCTTAAAACCACTTAAGTTTATCGCACAAACTTTCATAACTGAATCAATAAGCTGTCAGATCCTCATACGTCGAAACCGACGGGAGAGTTCATTATATATATATATAATATTAGTGGTTAATATATATATATATATATATATATATATATATATATATATATATATATATATATATATGCATGTTTCATTAAAACGACAGACAAGGTACTACGGTTGAGCTTTTTATTTAATTTTTCTTGTGTTCTGACAAGAGCTTTTTTTCTGGACAAAGGGTGTGTAAGAACTGTCCAAATGTTCTATATTTCCGAGCGCTTTCGGCTATACCTTTAGCCATTATCAAGGATGATTCGATTATCAGCTTAGTAGAGTGTGTGTGTGTTCTGTGTATGTTCAGTGTGTGGTAGTGATGTTTTTAGTTTCCGAATACGGTTAACACATTGTGGCAATTGGCAATTGATATACTAACCAGAAGGAATCTATGGAGAGCCATAATCAATTCACTGTGTCGTACGACACAATTTTTCTCTCCAGAATCTATCTTGCATATATAAAGTCTATCATATGTCCATGCTTAGACTACCACATATGGCCTAGTGTTCCTCCTATTTATCTCCTTGATAAAAACCAAAGAAGAATCCGCAATATTATTGGTCCTGATCTGGCCACTCAGCTTTAGTCAGTTTCCCGCAGCCATAAGCTTGCTTCTTTGTGCCTTTTCTATAAATACTTTCATGGTAATTGTTCGGTTCAGCTCTGAGCTATGAGACCTAGGCTTATTAATTTAAGCACAGTACTAGACTGGCATCGAGATCTCATTACTTTACTGTTGAGCTGGTTAGATGTAACCATGTTCTATGCTAACAGTTTCTTTTCTCACACTTCTTGCTTGTGCAACTCTGTTTCGGATTCAAGCTTTACAACCAACTTTAATCTACAAAAAATTTAAATGCAATGTCAATCGCTATCTACCGTCCTCCTGATTACTCTTTCCTCTTTCCGCTCATTATTAATGTTTCTGTTCGTAATTATTCCACACCCTGTAACCCCTTGTGTCTTACTCGCTTTACTACCATGCTTGTGGAACTCTCTTTCGGCTCTATGCTTTCAAGCCAACTTTAATCTTCAAAAATTCAAATGCAATATCAATCGCTATCTACTGTCCTCCTGATTATTCTTTCCTCTTCCCGCTTATTATTAATGTTTCTGTTCTTAATTCTTCCACACCCTGTAACCCTTTGTGTCTTAGTGGCTTTTCTGCATTGCATGGGGTGAAACTGATATATATATATATATATATAAAAACAAACCCTGTTTATTTAAAAAACAAAATGAATAAAAATATAAAACATTTCTGCCACCCCCGAACACCAATAATCTATATGCAATGCCCATTTTTAGAGGCTTTGCCCCCCCCCCAATGATTGTTAAAAATCACAACTTTGAAAAGGATACTATGTACAAGAGGTCGTGTAATATGAATTCCTTCTGCCAACATCCGCATACGACATAATTCAGATGGTTGGTAATGTTCCATTTTATTTTCAACATTAATCTGTTCTGGAACCATGTCTGAAAAAATCTGCGAGGGGCTGCAATACAAGCACAACAAATAACAATTGTTATTCATTTTTTACTAGTGTCTTTTTTGTGTGTGTGTGTGTGTCATCTGCATACGATATAATAAATACAATGTAAATCGCTATCTACTGTCTTCCTGATTACTCTCTTTGTTCTCGTTCATTGGTAATGTTTCTGTTTTTAATTCTTCTACACCCAGTAACCCCTTGTGCCTTAGTGGCTTTACTGCCTTCCTTGGGGTGAAGTAGATAAAAAAAACTACCTTGTGAAGATACAAGGCATTAAAAAAGAACTGACTCAGTGTCAGAATAAATTGCTGTCCTACTTCCAGATTTTTCACGCCATATTGTTTCCGACCTTATAGTAGCCGTAGTAATAGTCTTAAGTTGTTTCAATGCTGAGATTAAGTATTTTCATAATTAGTTTCCAGTTAATTGTCCATCTGCAAATTGCATTATATCACAACGTGAAGACGTGAAGTCAAATTTCATCGAGCAGCTCAGATTAAGGTACCAAAGACCTGAGTTCGAATTACATTCAAATACAAGCTAATCTATAAATAAGAATGAATTATTTTTAATGTTGCTACTACTTTTAACCAAATTTAATTGTTAACGAAGCTTAGAATACATCGTCTACGTCCCCTGAAAAGCCACCAACTCAGCAAAAAATGGGATACAATCTGGGTGGATATTTGAAAAAATCATGTATAAACTGTATCTATTTACCATTTTGACTCTAGTATTATCCAAACCTATGACTA